ATCCTAACAAGTGGTTTGTGTTTCTAAAGAAGGGAGGGCAATGCTTTTCTTTTTTCTCACTGTATTTAATAGCTGCATAAAACCCCTTTACTTTCTGAATTGAGTATCTCTCTGTTGACAGCTGAGCACTGAGACCATAAGTTATGATTTGAGATGATGATGTGGGTGCAGGGTAAAAAGAGTGTCACTGAACTTTCGAAACTAAGCTCCATCCCACTCCTGCAGTAGAGGCGGCTGTGTTCTGCTTCAGTCCCAAACTGTCATGCTTATAAAGTTCATGCTCTCAAAATACTTAAAATGTGTACACAGGCAATGTAGCAGCCTCAGGATGGGAAAGGATTAGGAAAGGACTGCACCACACAGGTCTAGGCAAGCTGGAGTAATGCAAAGGCAAAGCCTGTAGAATACCAAAAGGATAAACCTGAGAAATAGTCTGTGAGGTAGGGAATTTAATAAGGACAATAAAGGATACTCAGTTAGAGCTTTGTTCACCTCAAAACACAGTATTTAATTGTGTTTTATTTTTTGAGTTGCTTTTAATCTGATTGCCAAGCAGTACTGCTGCTGTTTTATTTCAAATCACTCTAACCGTCTTGCCTGTAATCCATTTACAAGTGATGCCACTACCTGGGGTTTATCACCTGACTTGTCATTTCTCGTGGCAGCATTAGGCTTCAGACGCATCATCATGACAAATCAGTCAAACAGGAAGATTCAAAAAGAAAATGCCATGTCTTGACATGTAAGGCAGGGAGTTGGAAAGGAACAGGAGATTTGCAAGGCTGTGACCCATCTGGAATTCTGCAATGGAGGGATTTCTCTTGTTTGTCACAGTTTAAGCAGTTTATGTGACATATGCATGATAAATATACGAGCTGACTAAAGGTCAAACTCTGCTTTTGGCTACATTGGTGAAAATCCAGTGGATATTGACAGGCTTTGGACCTGCTCTCATGTAAGCTAAAAGGAGGATTTGGCCAAAGAATTAATCGGGTATCCTATTCCCCGCAGAATAGTCACAGGCAAATGCTGAGATGTCCTGAGTTCTGCCACAGATGGAAAAAGGCCTTACAAACTCTTAAGAATCATTTACTGCAGGAGACAGGAGAACTCTGCTTTTTTTAATGCTTGAAATATGTGCATTTCATCTGAGCAGTCATCAGCACAGAGCTTTCTGTCTGAAGCTGCTGTAGTTTATGAACTCATTAAGTAAACTCATTTTTTAGCTATCGTTAAGATTGATTTCAGGTACCATGATAATCCCCTTTTCTCCTTTAATAAACACAGCCTTTCTATGCTGTATGAAAACAGAACAGCAAAGCAGGTCTTTCTGCAGAAGTTTAATGGTATGAAATCTCAGCTTCAATCAATTTCACGAGGATAGAACATGAAACTGCCTCCTGGCTGCAAGACAATTATGCAGATGAAAAAACCTTTCCTAGGGAAAATTTGCAAGAGTCTGGAAAACACTGTGAATCTGTCTGTCTATACTAAAGGGTCCATTTCAGGCTTCCGTTACTAATTCCATTAAATACTCAGATGGGTACGTTAGTTTCTGCCTCTCTAATATGAACAAAGTAATTTAATTTGTAATATTTTTTCACGTAGTATCTTTTTCCATGGATTTAAAGGGTGTTACTGCAGTGTATTCTCCCAGAGTAAAGACAGGCATTCTGCTTTTATGTGATACAGATTTTTAGATGCCCAGCTTGAAGGATTTCAGAGTTTTGAAAGTGCTGGGAATTTGCATTTTCAGATGCAACTAATAGGATCCATCTGTGTGTAGCGTCTGTAGAAACCGGGCCTAGGACATCTCAGAATGCCTGCTCAAAATAGGAGCCCTCCTGCAGCATGATTGCTTTAGTGAGTCATCTCAGATCAAAGAGCAAGTTAGAAAGTGAGGCAAGGCAGAAACCAGATCTTCTGCCTGCTGGTGTCTGGTTCAAGGGATGGGATTATACTGCTCTGCCGAAAGCCGTCCGCCAGAGGAGTGACCTATTTTACCAACATAGGTCACTTCCATTAGCTCAGTAGTTATTGTTCTGTTGCTTCAATTAGTGCCATTTCAAATAAGTGGCCAGCTCTGTGGAAAGGTCAGTACCTTTCTGAACTCTTCCTCTGTAAAAATTATGTTGCTAGGGAAACGATACCGGAAAAGTAATCAATTCTTGTTAGACCTCCAGATACAACATGCAGTTGCTTAGCTGCTGGCCAGGCACATCTCAGTTGAGAAGATGACTCACTCCATCAGTGTAACTCAGAGCAAACATTGTTCAGCCCTGGCCTAGCCACATATGACAAGTACAAACATGTTTTGAAACAATACCAGCTGTTAAAGACATTAATTCTGAAGGGGAAAAAACAGCAATAAATCTTGTTCAAGAACTGGGATTCTCTGGTAATATTCCCTCTATGATATATATGTAGGTACACTGGATGATCCTCATAAACATGAACAGGTTTACACAGTTAACTCCTTTCTACCACACAGAAAACACAGCTGCTTATGAAATCTTGAGATTCAGGTTGATGTGCCATCCAGCTAGCAAGATAGCTTCAATATTTCTCCTGTAAAATCTAGTACTTATTAAAAGGCCTCTCATATAAACTTGTCCATATCTTTACTGACAAAATGAAGCTTTGAAAATGGAATGTAGTTGTCATCATACTCAGTCTGGCTTTAGTGGCAAAGCTTGGATCATTAGTGGTCAACATTGCCGTATTGTACTTCATATGCAGATGTAGCTGTTCAATGCATATGGCTGGAGAACAATGCATATTACCATGTTGCTGTACTTGACAAAGTAGTAATAAATATTATTTATTACTCATATATTGAATTCTAATGACATTATTAGCCAAATTGAAAGACTCAAAGAAACTGTAGAATTCCCGGTGGGATTTGTAGAAGTAACTGAATAATAGAGGAGTATAAATCCTATTGTGTTCAGTAGCACCTGCTATATGTGGTTATACATACAACTTTTAAACACTACAGTCTATCAACATAACAAAAACACTTGGAAATATTATCAGTATGCAGATATTTAAATCTAAATATGTCTAAGTGGATTATAAATCCATCTTGTGGTAGAGTCTTTTTGTTTTCTACTAATACAAACTTACTGCAGTAGTGCCTAAGTGCAGATGCTTTTAAGACAGAACATGAAAAGCACTTATGAATCAATGCCCTTACGTATGTGTGGCATTTAAAACATTTAAATATTCCTATTTATTATAAAATATTATGTTTACACTTAAAGTTAAGCCTAATTTAATAGATTTTGCTGGATTAAGGCCTAAAATCAGTGACATTTGCATTTGCATGAACTAGTGAAGGAGAATAATCTATTCACTTGAATTTACAAAGGGCTTTTAAATTCTTAGCTGCATAATCTTATCCTAAAACTTGTGCCTCTTGCAACAGTGAAATCCTTATATTCTTGCTGGAATACTGGTATGGTACTGATTCAGGATAAAAAATAGTATCTTAAGCTCAGCTGAAAGGAATGTCTACAGTCCTTTGAATAAGCTTTGGCTCAAGTGATTAGTGAGGCATCAATACCAGCACTATAATTCTAGCTTGGTTTTTCCTTCATCAGTATGTCTGATCCAGCTTGTAACCCAGCCCAGACCTGTTTCATTTAGGGCATATGGGAAGGTCAGAAATACATTAAAAGGATATCTACCAAATGAAAATAGTCTTCACAAAAAAGCCCTAATGCCATGTAGAATTGACAGAGTGCAATCAGGCAGAGTGCCAACAAAAACTGCTTACATTTTAATCTTATGTAAATAACAAAATATAGAGGGCTCAGGCAGACAGGATTATGCGATTTCTCATCAGATGGCAGGCAGAATTGCTTATGGTGATCTGCCATGAAGAGAAATGAGCGTGCTAAAAAACTAATCTTTGGGTTTCACTGTTGAGTATCTTTCTGACGGAAAAAGATGCTCCCGGCTGATGCACAAAATGTTGGCCTTACACAGAAGATATGATCTAAAATATTTACTAGCCCTATCATATTTATTCTACCACAGTTACCACATCCCATACTGAATATTTTAGCTGTTTATATAAGGGGAATATTGACAATTCAAAATGAAGTCTCTCAAAAATACCCCACCAGCTAGCTGACATCTGTCAAATTTTGGGTCCATGTTTAACTGAACCTTTTAAAAAAGCTGATAAAGGGAAAGAAAATTCTACACCATGTCTACAATATCACTGAAGAAATACGGCAGATTATATGATGATCTGTACTTGTCAATATATATTAAGTGTTGGGTTTTTTTCCCACAAAAGCATACAATGTTTATATCTGAAACATCCAGATATAAATGTGCTTTTACTTTCAAATTAGATTAGTTCAGCCCTGAAATTTGCATAGAAAAACATTTTCTAGACTTCTAGAGATGTATAAATGACCATGGCTCTCTACTGGGTTTTCAGGTTTAATGTTTGTTTTAATCAGTTCAATTTACATATTTATTTAATCTAAATATAATCTAAAGCCTTTTATTAACTTCTTTTCCCATGAAACCATATAAAATCCAGACAGATAAGCGGTTTAGGATAATATTTTCCCACCAGGATGAAGTGCATATTTCATAGCCTTGTATACTTTGTGAAGTTAATAAACTCTCTCATTGCTTTCATCAAAATAAATTGCTACAGATAGTTATATTTTGTGACTTACATGACTTAAATAATTAGAGTATGTATGCACACATTTACTGTCTTTATCAATATTGCCTTTATTTGGCATTGTCATGATGTAGTTATTCATTTTTTCAGTAAGGTTGATCAAATTTCCATATAGCTAGCTGTTTGTTCTTTGAGTGCTGGCTCTGCATTAGTTCTTCAGAGGCAAGGATGAAGTCTGTTCTGTTAGATTTCTACTTACCATTCAAACTGGTGTTGGAGAGAATGTGCTATAGATTCTGCATCGTATCTGTTGAATAACTGGGGTTTGGTTTTATTTTGCTTTGATTTCTAGAAAACTTAGATACAATGATAGCTGAGCAGACAAAGAAGAAGCTTGAGAACCCTTCCACTAAAACCAGAACAAAGCTACCAGCAGGTAATTATTCTACAATTTTCTCTCCTCGAATAACACATTTTTTAACTTACTCAGTTAAAAGCATGCTAATTGCTTTAGGAGCCACTGCTAGTTAAAGATAGAGTCCCTCAAGGACCTGTTGCCACAGCTTGGATTTCTAAATACGAGACGAATTTTTACTTAATTGTTGAATCTTTGAGAAGTATATTCACTGTTCTTTTCTTCAGTGGAGTCCAGACATTACACATATACAAAAGTAAGCTGTATCAATGTGTTTTAAGACTTAAATAATTAAAAAAAATAATTCTGTGTCAACTTTGGATCAGGTGAATGCAAATTTCCTATCATTTTTCTCTGCACAAAGGAATGTGCCTTTATGAACTACAAATTGTTGCATTTTAGTCTCCTGTATTACTGTTTGTAAGAACTTCCTCCTATTACTGTTTTTAGGAG